GGGACGGTTTCGCGGCCACTCCTCCCCACACCTTCTAAGGACAGACATCAGTGAGACGCGGTCCCCGTGACCTGGCCAGTTACCAGAGCGCCAGCCGCTGCTCCAGCTCTCGCAGGAAGCCGCTGTGCAGCTCGTAGATGGGGTCGATGCTGGAGAAGAGCAGGGAGCTCAGGCCCGCGGGCAGGGCGTCCTCCTGGACCGCCGCGCTGCGGAACCACTGCGGGAGAGCTCAGGGTGACCGCGGGCCTCGGCCGGACACCCGGCGCGAACCCCGGAGGCACTGTGAGGACGGCTCAAATCAGTGCCACAGCTGTGCTCTGGGCTGACCACCAAACGTCCACAGCATGAGGAGACGGTTCTGGATGAGAAGCTTCAAGTGGCCACGCTCCCAGTTTTACAGAAAATGGGGCCCACGACCCCAGCTGATTGGGAGTCTGACGGAAATCTGGTTCAGAGAGCAGGGCGTGTCAGCCCCGGGGCCGAGGGATGCTTCTGGGGGGTGGGGTGGGGTCTCCTGCCTCCGGGGAGGGTCAAGCGGCATCGAGGACACCCAAGCAAAAAGGGACGTAGGTTGCTCACCACAGTAATAACTTCCAAATCCTTCAGGTATGTTCGCTCTGTGGCGAGAATCTCCTTCGCTATGAAATAGGCCTCGTCCGCTCCCGGCCACTGCAAGAGGCACAGACAGCGTGAGCACGGGCTGTCGGCCACGATGCCGTGACACCCGCGTCCTGCGCAAGTGACCGGCGTCATGCGGGTTTCATCGTGATTCCCGAGGGGGTTTCCTTCCGAGTGAAAACACGAGCTCAGCTGTGTCTCCCTCACGTTCTCCTCATTGCCGGTTACTCCTTTTGAGAAGAGAATTGCTGTTCGAACACTGACACAGACTGGAGGCTATTACTGGTTTTGAGATACATCATCGCTCAGCTGTCGCTGCCAGAGGCGCAGCTGGTTGCCACACAGATCCACGAGCGTTCGGCCCGTGAGTATGAGCGATCAGGCCCGACGCACGAAACAGGCGTCAGTGTGCGAGCCCGTCGCGCTGGCAGAGCTCGGGGCAGCCGGGCCGGCCAGCCCTGCAGCTCTCACGCCGACCAGGCCCCGCCTGCTTGTGGGTGATGCCGGCAAGTCAGTGAGGAGGCCGCTGCGGGGGACGGGAACTCTGGGGGCGGGGATTAAGGCCCCAGGGGGTACGAGCCCCCTGGGGAGGATGAGAACTCTCAGCAGAGGATGGGACCCCTGTGGCAGCAAGGGCCATACACTGCGCCCTGGGAACCTGGGCTCCGCACGGGCTCTCACGCTGGCCCCAGGCTCAGGCCCAGCCAGGGGCTGCACCTTGTCCCTGGAGCACCTCAGAGAGGCCGGGAAGTCCAGCTCCAAGGCCCTCCCCCGTCCTCCGCAGCTGGAAGACGCCCCTCCTGCTCTACCCTGCACAGCCACCCTGCTGCTCCTCCGCCCGGCTGGGGACTTTAGAGAATGTCTGCCATGCAAACACCTACAGAGCACGTGCCGGCCCCAAACCGCACCTGGGACATGCCCAGGAGCAGGAGTCCCTGTCCTTGAGCTGATTAGCATCCTGGGAGGAAACAGGCAAGAAGCAACACACAGGCTAATGGGGAAGCTGCCCGTCACACAGAGACGTGTCATGGGCGCAGAGCAGGCAGAGGGGGCAGAGGGGGCGGGGTGGGCAGCTGCAGGGCAGAGGCGGGCAGAGGGGGGCAGAGGGGGCAGGGTGGGCAGCTGCGGACTCCAGCAGAGTAGACAGACCGCCTCCTGGAGAGGGCGGGGCTGAGGAGGTGGTGGGAAGCAGGTGGGAGGTCAGAGGAGAGGGGGAGGGGGGCGAGCTGTTCACTGGCGGTGAAGGCGGGGCCTTGGGGGTGGCATGCTGGGACCCCGGGACAAGTCTGGCTGCTACGCTGAGAGCAGGCTGGAGGGCCCGGGCTCACCGGGAGGTGGGGCGGCAAGAGGAGGCTGGGGCCCTGGCCAGTCTCCTAGCTCAAGTTATGCTGTTGGGGGAGGGACCAGGGGTAGAGGCGGCAAGGGTGACCGAGGCTTTGGGCCCACATACCACAGGGCGTAGGTCAGGAAGGAAGGTCAGCGGTCAGGTTTGCATCTAGGAGCTGAAGCAGTGAGCTGGGCTGGGGGTCTGCGGCTGAGAAGGGGAGTCTGGGCCGGAGGCTGACATTGGGGCCGGTGGCTTCTTCCCTGGGCCCTGTCCCTCTGGGAAGCTTAGGAGAGCTTTGGGCTGCCCGATGGGATGGAGGCAGAGACCGAGGCCTGAGAGGTGGGGGCTGGACAAAGCCCGGCCGTGAGGTGGGGGTCTTGGGCCGGAAGCCAGTCATCAACGCAGCCCCACACACGGCACACACACAGCCTCACACACACAGCTCACACACAGCTCACGCAGCCTCACACACAGGCCACACAGCACATAGACAGCTCACACAGACTCATGCACTGCCTCACACAGCACACACACAGCCTCACACAGCACACATACAGCCTCACACACAGCCTCACACAGCACACACACAGCCCCACACGCAACACACACAGCTCACACACAGCCTCACATACAGCATACACACAGCCTCACATAGCTCACACACAGCCCCACGCATAGCACACACAGCACACACACACAACCTCACACAGCACATACACAGCACACACGGCACACACACAGAGCCTCACACACACAGCTCACACAGCACACACAAAGCCTCACAGCCCCACACAGCACACACATAGCACACATAGCTCACAAAGCACACTCACAGCACACACACAGCTCCGGGCCTGCTCTCGCTGAAGTGGGTGCAGGGGGCCCGGGCATGAGGGGCAGTGTGCACGGAGGCCACATGTGTCCAGTGAGGGTGGCCTGGGCGGAACATGCATCTGGTGCTCTCAGGACGAAACGCAGCGGAGTGCTAAGGTGTCTGTGACAGCTGCTCCACGTGACAAGCACCTGTGAGGCAGGGGTCCTGCTGCCACTGGTGTCCCCACCTGTGATTACCGCCTCGTCCTTGAGCTCCACGCTCTCTACCTAGGCTCTTACACCTGCCTCGTACCCATCCTGATGGCAAACACAAACTGGCGGGGCGGCCACCTCCACTGGCCACCCCGAACCCGCACGCCCGCCGCCTCCCCTGGCAGCCACGCTCCACCTCCAGGACCCCCTCAGCCGTAATGCCTCCCTGTCCCCCAGACAAGGTGGGTCCCTGGCGCTCGCCCTTAGAGCCAGACCTCCTCCCAGTCACTTGGCTGAGGGCTCCCTCGGCACCTGCCCGTTCCCACCACCCCCTGCTACCCCCTGGTGCCCTGGGTGCCACGAACAGGTACGGAAGTCCCCGAGGAGTCCCTGAAGTCCCTGAGGAGTCCCTGACCGTGATGGGAGGGTCTCAGCTGTGATTTTGCTGGG